GTGTCTGTCAGAGCCCTTGGATCAGGGACAAAATCAGCATCAGTATTGACGAGAGGAATATCTCTTGAATCATCTGAATTATCCTCAACATAAGGAATATCTCCAGCTACCAGATATCTATGTTTTGCTCAAGCTGTCTCCTAACTCTATCCGCATCATGCTTCTCTCTTGCCGTCACTCTGTCCCACATCTTCGTCACTTTCATGTCAACCCTTGCAATATTCATCTTCCTATCACCTCGCTGGTCAAGGAGAAACTGCACCTCACGTTTAGGAACAATTACATGCCACTCCTTAACTATATGAAAAAAAAGTTGATAAACACTGAACAGAACATTGCACCGCCAGAGCGGCTGTTTGGCTAGTACTGTAGGTAAATTTAAAAATTTCAGTAGAAAATGCGGCAGACTAAACCTCGACATATCAGCTTCAAATTTGGCATGGAGTCTTAGATATGTATAAGGAACAATGCCTGAAGAGTGCAGCTTTGAGCAAAATTTCACTGCCCCCTAATGCCCTATCTCTCACCCTGCAAGCAAGGGAGCAGGAGCGATCAAACCATGATTGTAATGTGAAAGTTTTAGAAGATGGGATAAATGCACTCATACCGCCCTGTATAACCCCAGCAATGCTGTCAGCACATACCGAGTCATCCCGAGTGGAAAAGCAACATTCATCCCAAGGATAGTCGGTGAAGAATTCTCGCAAGGATTGCCAGCTTGACCTCCGATAGTGCCATAGTTGACGTTTAGAGGGGGGTGGGGGAGGTGGTCGTGCCCAGTTTGATTTGATAGAAATAAGGTTGTGATCAGAAGACCCTAAGGGGGCAAAAATTGAGTATGAATAGTGTGAGGGGTTAGAGGTAAAACAAAGATAAAGAATGTTAGCAAGTTGATCGTGTCGATCAGGAACGCATGTAGGGTATTTGATTATTTGTTCCAAATCATTAAGTAAGGAAAAAGAGAGTGCCTCAGCTTCACCTGGGTCATCCCTTGCAGAGCCAAGCCACTCTCTGTGATGTACATTGAAATCCCCTAGGTAGAGGATCTCGGTGTTGGAGTGTGTGCATACCAACGACTCATGGCAAGAAGTGAGATAGTCAAAGAGTTCGAAATAGTTGGTAGAGTTGGGAGAACAGTATAGGAAACAAAGAAAAATAGTCACAGTAGATAGAGATATTGTGAGCCAGATGACATCATAAAGGGGATATTCAAGATCCGTGGGTCGGGCTATAGGTGTACGTGTGTTGCAGTAGGCGCATACACCTCCCTTAGAACGGAAGTAGGTATAAAGGGTGTAGTTAGAGACTTGAAAAGGTTTGGGTGAAGCTGCTTTGGTCAGTTGAAGTTCGGAGAGTAGTAAGAGGTCGGGGGAAGAGGTTGATAGATGGAGCTCCACAGAAGAAAAATTGGATCTCAGGCTGCAAATGTTGGAAAAATGAAGTGTGAAAAAAGCCGATCCTCCAGCAACCGCGGTGGCGTCAGTTGAGGCCCCAGTAGCTTCATGATGATCAGGTCGGCCATGGGGTTCACAACCTTCCCGACCAGTGGGACCCATCCGAGAAGGCCCCGCTTCAGTATTAATATCAACTGACATAGGAGAATAAAATAGAATGAATAAAACAGATCAAGAATGATTACGGTTTTATTTGTGGTGTTGTCAATAGTAAGAGAGACAGTTGAGACCCTGCAATTGTGTGTAAATGAGGCAGAAAGATAGATCAGCAACCTGGGACTTGGTCACAATTTTCGTGATGCCATATAGCAGCAGGGTCTACCATTAGACAACACATTATGCTTCCAATATCTTCCCAGATGGCAGTACCTCCCTGTTTGGTAGCTGCCTACTACCTACTACCTACAGCTGCATTTTACCAAATCCAGCTCGTATGAAACACGAGGTACCATATATACTTCATTTTTAGTCCATACAACACGCTGACTAAAAATGAAGTATACATGATACCTCGTGTTTCATACCAGCTGGATTCGGTAAAATGCTACTGACATCCACATAAGCGGCACGGGCAGTTCCCAATGGGAGGTTCACGGCGCCATCAGCTCGATGAATAGGCTTTGTGTGAAATATAACATAGTCTAGAACTGCTTTTAGTGTCCTTGTGGCATGGTCAGTTACATTCCCTGGTCCCACGTAGTAGGTCGAGGGTTCGAGTCCTGGCTGGTGAGGTCGTTGATTATAATCAACATATAATTATATGTTCAAAGTCCTCGTGTTATATAAATTAAAAATGAAGTGTGTGTATATATATATATATATATATATATATATATATATATATATATATATATATATATATATATATATATATATATATATATATATATATATATATATATATATATATATATAATTTATTAAAAGTGCCATACTTATTTTAATATATACTGACATAATATAATTTCCAGCATTTATTTTTCACCTGTTCAGCTATTGATACTTTAATTATTTTAAATATAATTTATATCAATTTCCTGTAAATGGATGGACAAGGTTATTATTTTGGTTTGTATCTAAATAATTTTTCAAACCTTAGACATAGAAAATGCGGTCATTTTGTTTTTTCCCAAGGAGTATAATAATGTTCATAATTTTCAAACTACAAATATGATAGTTTTATAATAATGTTAATGATGTCATAGACACATCTTTTCAAACTGCATATTTTAATGATGTCATAGACACATCTTTTTGAAAATACAAATATGATAGTTCTACAGTATATTATCACACTGAAAATTTTCAGCCATACAATGGTAGAACCCTTCACAACTCAGTACCATTGCTCTCCGCAAAAAATGAATGTTTCTTTGAAGAGTCTCAAGCACCACACACTCATTCATCCAGCGTGATTATCGTAGCAAAAGTTGTACATTGCTAAGAAGGTGCGTTCTTAAACACGTAGTAGGTGAAGATTATTTCTGCCATGTTATTATGGGATTTGCTTACCCAAGTTAACGATTTCCACTATTGTGTTGATATTGGCAGTAATGTTTGTCTTTTAAGTCAGAATCATCCAATTGTGCCATTGAGCATAAGATACTAGCCCGTAAGACACTTAAGTCTAAGACCACAGTAGTTGCTGAGCCTACGGTTCCAGAGTCCCCAGTTTAGTGTCTACACATGTTTGTTATCTGGTAAGGTTTATGTATAGGATGTTTTTCTGCGAGTTTAGTTTAGTCCTCATGGAGCTTGGATGGTGTGACCGAGCGATGTAATAGCCCCTGTCTTATAGGCAGAAGTATTATATAAATGGGTTAATTACATTTGATTTAAATACACTATCATCCCCTGTAACTTTCCACTAGCTCTGAGGTAGCATGTTTAGAGCACGTGATAAGGAGTGCCTACGGGAAGCCGCATCATATTGTGCTGAGCTAAGGCAATAAGTAGCCGGTTCTCTGGCCACCTGATGCGGGCATTAGTTAGATATCCTTGACTAGAGGAAGACGTTATTGAGAGCCATCGTGGATGATTCGGTCTTCTCTCAAGGGAGGATGACGTACATATTTCCGTTCTCCCTCGATGGGTCACTACTCATTGGCATTGTTACTCAATCCCTCACACCAACCGGATGTGTTTAACAGAGCTATTTAACATAGCCTCCGCCCTCCTCAAACACTCATAGCTACAGTGATAAGTTACGGTGATATACACTTGGAACTGTATCTGAGATAGTTCCTAAATAAATGGATAACAGACATTTGAGTTTCGCTACTAAAACCCTATATAATATACATGTTCCAGCCTCATTAACCCAGACGGAATCAAAGGTTAAAAAAACTAGAACAGTGTGAAGGTGTGGAACAACTTTCCCCCACTTACCCTTACCCATCCGAGCAAAGACTATGCTCCCTTCCTTTTAATCATCTCTTAAAAAATATGTACTGTCTAAGTATTAATATTTTTTTTTGTAATACCTACTTTATGTACCTGGTTTTTTTTTGTACTAACAAAACCGTTTTACCAGAAATTATTATGTAGATAGGTAATAAATTAATATTGCAAAAAAAATATATTTGTCAACTAGACATATTCCTGCCAGCTCTGTCCTCTTGTTCAACTTTAATACAACCCATGATGTACTGTTTCCCTCCCTTATCATATTAATGTTTTTCAATTTCCACTGTAAATTATGTATATACTAATAATATAAAGTTGAAAGTTGTTTGGGGATTACTGGCCACTTCGAAGTTAGGTTACTCGACCGAAGCTGTTTTTTTCCTGAGTCTTTTTCTTTGGACTTCTTCCTTTTGTTCATTTTGCTTTTCAATTCCATTCTTCTTCTTGGTTTCGTTCTTGCATATTTTCGTAAAAATGTAAAAAAGGTGACGATTTTAATGTTACAAAATCCTTTTCTTCGGTCTTGTTTAATTCTGGCTTCTTTTCTGCGGTCTTCTTGGGGTCTTGATTTATCTTTTCTGTGGTAATGTTGGGGCCTTGATTCATCTTTTCCTAGGTCTTCACTACAAGGAGAGCCTCACTAGCGTAGCTAGGGGGGGGCGGTCCGCCCCGGGCGGCACTTTTGGGGGGCGGCACTTTTGGGTCTGCTCATCACCCATATCTGCAGCTACTGGAGACGTTAATCCATCCCTTTGTATCGGCGGCAAGTTAATCCTTGTCGTGTCTGACCTAACACCTGACCCACATCATCACGGCCACGTCATGAGCTACACCCTTGCTATGCGCCCCCCGCCACACACACAACCTGTAACCTGTTGAGGATTAAGGAAACAACTTCAAACAAGTACGCCAGTGAGCTCATGTGGTGTGGGTCAGGTGTTAGGTCAGACACGACGAGGATTAACTTAACGCCGATACAAAGGGAAGGATTAACGTCTCCAGTAGCTGCAAAACCATGCAGTCTCGGGTCATATCAGTTCATGTACAGCCGACCAATCCACCAGTTACAAGCAATTCACTTCAGTTCTGCACAAGTCTCCATCGTGACAAGACGAGGGGAGGCTAGACGACTTTTAAGTTCTCTTGTGTTTTCGATCCAGTTATTTACTTCGTTGGAAGACATAATACTATAAGGTAAGAAATATTAAAGTATTGGTTAAAAAATATTGATGTGACTTTTGCTGCGGTACTGAGATTAAATATTAAGATTTTGTTTCACAGCATTGCGATTTTATACTAAGACACTATCCTCACTGGGGTACAGACAAAAGCCCCCCCGACAAAAGCCACCCAGACGAAAGCCACCCAGACAAAAGCCCCCTACTTTGATCGGGGTGGCTTTTGTCTGACAACAGTAAGGGCTTTCAAAAGTTACGGACATAATTAAATAGTTGAGGGTAAAATATACTGTTCTTCTCTGTGGTTAATTATTGGTTAGGTTAGGGTTAGGTTAAGTTAGGTTGGGTTGGGTTAGGGTTAGGGTTGTCAGACAAAAGCCACCCCGATCAAAGTAGGGGGCTTTTGTCTGGGTGGCTTTCGTCTGGGTGGCTTTCGTCGGGGGGCTTATGTCAGACATCCATTTTCACTGTACTCTGAGTCTGTAATTTTAGATTAAGTTGCTACTTTTTACATTTCCATTGTATTACATTGATACTAGTGTCATTATACCGTGATTTTAGATCATACTCAATAAAAGATAACGGTGCAGTACAATTGTTTTATGTAACGGATTCCTAACCTAACCCATATATATATATATATATATATATATATATATATATATATATATATATATATATATATATATATATATATATATATATATATATATATATATATATATGCATGCAGAAACTTCACATCATGAAGAATAGATGCACAATAACCACTGGAGAAAGGAAAGACAAGCAGCAAGTACTTTCGTTTAATACATCCTCAGGCAGAGGATGTATTAAACCAAAGTACTTGCTGCTTGTCTTTCCTTTCTCCAGTGGTTATTGTGCAGATATATATATATATGCTGAGGAAATGCTATTTAAGAAAAAATGTTTTCCTATGCATATTACTTTTGGAATAGCGTTTTTTTATATTATGCAATGCCGAAATAATAAATAATGTACGTAATACATTTTAAATTTTTTTTTGTAAATTCACAAAAGCATTCTTTTGCTACACAGAGCTTTTTTCTTAATGTGTTATTTGTTAAAAGTGTAGAATTTGTGACTTGTAATATTTAGCTTCATCACTTTTATCTAAAGTTCTCGTCATTTTTTTCAATTTTTTTTATCTTTTAATTTTAAACATGCAGTGTGAATTTATTTCTCGAAAAATTAATGTTTTATACTTCTATCACTCTGTCCCCAGATGAAGCGAGCTAAAGAAAGTGGTGCTGTGTATAGAAAAAAGAGAAAGGCAAGAGAGGAAGTATTAAACAAGAATAAAGGGGCACTCTTTAAATACATCAGTCGTATAGAAACCAAATCATTATCAAATTCAAGGGATTCAAGTTCAACTTCAAGCGATTCGTCAACTTCAACTCCTTCAAGTGATGAAGAACATGAAGAAGAAAATATTCCGGGACCAGCTGTGGACAGAGTGGACATAAAAGATGTTGGCCTATGGCCAAGCAAGATTAGCAATGACACACGGATCTTTCTGGTACGTCAAGGTGCGTCTGTGGTTCAAAATCTAGATTCTGATTTTGGTGAAGTAATTCGTGAAGGTGTGTCAACCAAAGGACAAACTAGAAAACTAACACGCGAATGGTTTTTTCAAACTCTGCCAAATGGTGAAAGAATGTTGAGATCATGGATGGTGTACTCCCCTTCCAAGGAAGCTCTTTACTGCTTTTGTTGCAAACTGTTTAATTCTGAGGATGGATTCAACATATGGTGGAAACTGAATCCTAGAATATCCGAGCACGAATCCAGTGCAGCTCACGTTCGGAATTTCACACAATGGAAGGAGTTGGAAATTAGGATTGCTCGTGGAGCAACAATTGATGTATTTTTTGTGGGGGCACGGGCGGGGGGGGCGGCAAACTCAAGGGCCGCCCCGGGCGGCACACACTCTAGCTACGCCACTGGCTCAGAGCCTCCTTGTAGTTCATTTTTTTCTTGCTTCGCAGCTTAGCCACCCGACACTCGTCCCTCCACATGGGACACTCCCGGTCGGAAGAGGAGTGAGGGCCACCACAAGCTACGCATTTCTTGGCGGCCGCTGAGCTGTTGGTGTGCTGGTGCCCGGGTGTCCTGCAACTGCAACAGACCTCCTGAGCTCGACACTTCCCTGCCAGATGGCCATACCTCTGGCATTTGTAGCACCATGTTGGTCTTCTTTCATACTGTCTTAATGGGATGTTCTCCCATCCCAGCAATATGGTGCTTGGTAGATTCTTGGGGTAACTAACCAGTGCAGTTGCACTGGTCAGCTTCCCTACTATTGAGAGCTGGTTTCCGATCAGCTCGGCCAGTTCTTCTTTTTCAAGGTGTTCTATCTCGGTGTGGGAGATGACTCCCAACACCAAGTTATCCTCTGTGTGAGCTTCCACTAGTATCTTGATCCCGTTAATTTCTGTTATGTTTGCTATTTGCTGGGCCTGTCCCCATTCCGCGAAGGTGACGATAAGGCCACCACTCACTGGTCTGCGGACGACCCCTGTCACCCCCCTGATTGCAAAGGAGTAAAAAAACTTCCTTAGGACAAGGAGGTTTAGTTGCTTGCGTGAAGGGCATGTGACTGTGTACAGTCTTACGACCTTCGCCTGGTCACAGGTCAGAATCGTCAGGATGACGTAGTACTTCGAGAGCAGAGAAGATCTTGCCTCACCGAGATGCAGTTCTCAGTGTAAAATAAATAAATATATACATAAATAAATAAATGAATGAATGAATGAATGAATGAATGAATAAATAAATGAATAAATAAAATAAATAAATGAATAAATAAATGAATAAATAAATGAATGAATAAATAAATACATAAATAAATAAATAAAAATAAAATAAATAAATAAATATAAAATAAATATAAAATAAATATAAAATAAATATAAAATAAATATATATATAAATATATAAATATATAAATAAATATATATATAAATAAATAAATAAATATATATATATAAACAAATAAATAAATATATATATAAATAAATATAAAAAAAATATATAAATAAATAAATATATAAATATATAAATAAATATATAGATAAATAAATAAATAGATAAATAGATAAATGAATAAATAGATAAATAAATATATAAATAAATATATATATAAATATATAGATATATAATATGAAGTAAAATGTATATATTAAATATATATCTTGATAAAATCACACAGGAAAATGGAAACGGAGCACCTTAGCTTTCGTCTTTATTCCGAACAATATATATACATATATATATATATATATATATATATATATATTTACTATTATATAATCTAGTCACCTTACCCTGTGCTGTTAAGGTTTTAACTGTTATTATTTGTCCCCATCTTATTCATTTTGTATTGTAACCAGTATTCTTTGTTCTCTAACGACCATCTGCATCGTTAAACGACCCACCGGCGGTCGCGTGGCGGAGCCGACCTTATATATAGGACCCACCAACTGACGGAGTTAGTTCCAGTCCTCTTGTCATACAGTTCACATCCTTTGGTGACACTCGTCACCTGTTACTTATACTAATTTATTTGTGTTGTTCCTGTCGCCACCAATGTGGTATATCTATGTGAGTACCTATTTATGTCTATTTATGTCCATCAGTATTTGCTTCGTTACATTTAAGTAATTCAGTGTTGTTTCACGTTAGTTAATTTCAGTGTTAGTTTTTATATGTTTATGCAGTGTTAACGTAATCCAATGCTTTATTTTTATTCTTTTGATGTTTCGATGTTTAGTATCATTTTGTCTTAAAAGTTTCGATGGTGAATCAATTTGTTGTGACAGCCTACGAGGCTCTTTATTGTGTTAATATTTAATTAATTAAATTCTTAAAGGTTTACTTTATTTATTTTATTCCCTTTAATTTACTTCACTTTTTGTTTGGTTACGCCTAGAACCTGATATTTAAGTAAATTAAGAGACGGCGTAACAAATATATATATATATATATATATATATATATATATATATATATATATATATATTATATATATATATATTATATATATATATATTCGAAGTGAAGACCATGGTAACATTTTGATATGTTCTTATTACCACCATGCTATGTGTACTATTCCAGATGATACTAAATGCAACTTAATAGTTCCTTGAGATAAATGTACAGTATATATCAGGAGCCTACAATAGAGCTCTGGCTCTCAATTGGCTAAACCATGTTATTATTATGATTTTTTTAATCGTCTCTGTATCTGTGTACTTACGGCTAAATAAACTGTTTCAATATCAATATATCAATATCAATACCAGGGAGGACACACAACACTACACTCACCCTTTGCTACTACTACAACTTTTTTTTTTTTAAATGGCCTCCAGCCTCCTCCAATAGCCATTCCTTCGCCACCATTTTATTACCTCAATATTAAATATCCTAATACATAAGTAGCTATCCTAGCTGTGTTGAATTATTATTATTTTTTTTTTACGGGGATTTGCCCAACCGGGCACAGGTCACTGACCCACATCGGGACCCAAGGGACGAAAATGTAATAATAATAATAATATGTGTGTGTGTGTGTGTGTGATGTGTGTGTGTGTGTGTGTGTGTGTGTGTGTGTATGTATGTGTATGTATGTGTGAATTCAGATAAATAAAATTAAAAAAGATAAAAAATAATAATAATAGCACTCCAATAATAATAATAATAAAGAACCAAAAAGAAATAAAATAAAAAAAGATCAAGAGTGAGAAACAACGTATATGTATGTTGTGTTGTCAATGTTAAGAGAAACAATTGAGACCCTGCAATTGTGTGTAAATGAGGCAGAAAGTCAGATCACCAACCTGGGACTTGGTTAGAACTTTCGTGTTGCCCTTTTGCAGCATTAGACAACACATTATGCTTCCAATATCTTCCCAGGTGGTAGTACCTCCCTGCTTGGTAGCTGCCTATCTACCTACTACCTACTGCCACAGATCTATGCAGCATTCAGTGACTGTAGCCTCAGTCAATATCTGCAACTGTTGTCGGCTTTGGGGTCGATGCTCTCGTTCCCCTGAGGCAGAGCAAAGCCGAACGAAGGACAGAGAAGGTCCGTCGACATCTCATCCAGGCTGTAACTTAACTTCTGGGCTGCTGCTTCTGTTCGGATATCACCTCCACGGGTCTGGCGTACAAGCATCTTGCACTTAGTCCCATCCCACCAGAGGTTGTGAACACTTGAGAAGTGAAGCTGCCTTGATCAACGTTCTGAATTCTCTCACCATATCCCTTTGTCTTGTCGTTCTCGTTCCTCCTGTGTGCAGCATGGAGAGGTAGGTTACTGGGACATGCGGCCATGGGATCAAAATTTGTAATGTCGAATAAAGTTCACTTTCCCCGAGTCCAGAATCCTCGAGCACTGACGTCAACACGGGCTTCGTTGGATGTGTTTGAAGTCCTAAGTTGGAAGAACTCACTGTCCAATGGAAGAAGGGTCGGTTCTACCATGTTATCACGGCAGATTTCCTTTAACATATTTGCTGTGAGATTCCTTACTTCGTCATCCTTCATGCATATGAAGCCCCCTTTCTCACACACCATGGCGTGATCGACGTCATAGTTAGAGCCACACATGCATTGGGAGGGCAAACCTTCTACTGGCCTACCTTACCTTACAGCATTGGCATCTGTAAATTCTTGTTTATTGAGACTGAAACCATTTGCCCTTATCGGTAACGTAGTTAACTTGTTCGAGGCACCCACCTCCTGCGCTATAGCTACTTTTTTTTATTTTAATTATCACTTTGGCCGTGCTGTCGTTCTGTTGTAATGGACCTTCGAATCTTGTTTACTTCACTGTTATTCACCTCCCCTGTTGCGTTCTGAGCTATTATGTGGTCCGTGAGGGCTGCCGTGAGCTTAACTGAGTTTTGATGTTCGGTGGCAGCAATCTCCTCTGGATTGGTCAATCCCATTCCTCCCAGTCTCGGTGGTAGTGCAAGGAGTGATCTTTCTGCTGGGGTTAAGTGAAGATGTTTCACTAATTTGGGAATGAAATTGACGCTGATAGCTTCTTCCAGAGGGTGGAGGAGGGGTCTGATATCAGGAATAGTGTGCATCAGGTAGTTCCAACGATGCTTGACTCCATGGGTGAATGCCGCAAAAGCCGCATGTGGCTCTGTGTTAGCAATCTCAGACAGAGCATGGATTTCCCTAACTCACTCATTCACCTTTCCCATTACGTACTCGGTCTTCAAGTCCGTCGTGCCAATTATTGCGCCTAGGTGTGTTTGGCCATCCTTTGTATTTTGACCTCACTTTCACTGAACTCCTCCATTGCCCGTTAATAATGTTCTGGCTTCACAATGAGGAAGGACTTGCTGGCGTTTATGTGGTACCCTATTTGTGGGCCTCGTGATGTTACTAAGTCCCACCACTTTTTGATATCCACCACTTTTCCTGCTCCTGTAAGGTCATCAGCGTACGCCATTTGCTTGACCTCAGTTGTTTCAAATTTTATTGTGTTGGAGCACGGATAGGCCAATTGCGTACATTGCCATTGCAACAGGGTCTCCCTGCATTGTTGCTTCTGTTGATTGTATGATGGTATCCCCTCTTAGAGCCTTGTTGTTTACTTTATAAAGGTCTGATGGATTCCTATAGAGTTTTCAGCATAGATTGCAAAGCTTGAACACTTGATCTTGATGTTGTGCAGTGCGGCCTTGCGGTTAAGTATGTTGAATGCGTTTAAAGCATCCACCAGGAGAACGGCCTTACAATCGCGATGCTCAATTATCGTTCTCATGACGTGAATGGCAGCTTCCCCTCCTGTTTGGTGGCCAGCACAAACATGCAGGTTCCCTGCTGCTGTCCTGACATCATCCTTTACTACCTCCATTATGCATTTTCCGAATATCCGCCTCAGCGCTTCCCCCACTCCTATTGGCCAACATCCTAGATTCTTATCCAGGGGAATAAGGCGACAGGCTGTCAGAGCATGAAGGTCTTAGCAGCACGAGGATGCCAGCTTTTCTGCAAGGACGGCAATGGCCGTGCAGAGATCACTTGCTATGGGGCCAAACTTGTTAGTGCTGAGGATGACTCTCCAA